TGCTTGTATAGCTAGAATTACAACATAGACAATCCAAATGATAATGTGTGCGCGTGTCTCACCATTGGATGATTTCCGTGATCTGGGCCTCCCAGTGAGCCACACTCTCCTTCTTGTCGGCCAGCTCCCTCATCTCGTCCTCCAGCTGCCTGTTGGAGCTGCTCATCTTCTCAAACATGCTGGTGAGCTGCAGGAATACACAGGGAGAGAAAACACATCGTATTAGCCATCATGCTAAAAGCGTAGCGTCGTCAAGCTGTCAATGGGAAGTATGACACCTGGTAAATGGATTCATATACAGTATATATAAATATAGACGCCATGACATAACATTGCAAGACTGAACTACTGTGTAATGAGTCTAACAGGTTGCTGCGGAGGCAAAGGTGCTCAGCCTTGAACGTGAGGACTGCTCCGATATGGAAAATGAATCATTGTATTGTTGAAGGTTATGACAGTTTTTATGAGTCAACCACGCTTGACTGCAGCGCTGCTGTAGAGGTGTGTGAACTCGCACTCACAGAAACAAGAAGGGTGATATAACATGAGACGCCAGTGAAGACGTGACCTCATTGCAAGCCTGAAACTGCCCTATTGTTTGCTTAAATATTTCATTTGTGGGCGCATATTTTGGGTGTATTGCAACTGTAGAGACTGATGTAATGTGCAAGCTAAAACAGTCATTTATTATTGTTTTGAAATCGCTTCCCAATCTACGCTAGTGGCCAACAAATGTTTGAAATATCAGCTAGAAAATGATGTTGTTGAAAAAGGCTTCAAGCAACTAAAAATAAACACAAACATGATGTGAAAGAATTTTGTTTTTAAGCACGTGCTTTTATTTGTTGGTAATGTCTCCCAGTGATGAAATCATTGCGTATATGATAAGTGTAAGTGTGCAGTCTGTGGTTGCAAATACTAGCATCACAAGCACCACACCACATCAGAAACACATTGTACTTGAAGTTGAAATCTGCACTGCCATCAAATGAAATGAAAAAAAAGTCAAACTTTAAATGATATTTACTGTATAAGTGTGATGTACATCATGGCATGCCAATATACTTTGAGGTTTGGGGATGCATATAAAGTCAAAATGATATCGAAGTCGCAGTATGGACTAGTGCAATACCAAAATAGCAGGAAGCACAATATTTGTTTATGGGTTAAAATAACATTTTGAATGAAGTATTGTGCGACGATATTGCGGCCTACAAATCATATTGTATAGTATTATCAATCTCAGTGATTGTGATGTTAAATGTTTGTTTTTCTTGTATTGTGTCTTAATATCTGTCCTTATTAATGTTGCAAATGGAGCTGCTTTGAAGCAAGTCAAATTTCAGACTTGATCTGACCAATAAATGAATATCGTATCATAAGTGGAACAAGCCTTGCAGAAAAAGAAAATAATTTGGATAAGAAATATCTGGCAGTGGCACTAATCTAAAGCTCCTGTTCTTTTTCTACACATGTAATATATTCCCCAATAAGCCTGTTTCTGTGGCTGAACTGCCAGTGTTACCCCACAGCAGAGCTCCACGTTCTACAGTGTTACCCCACAGCAGAGCTCCACGTTCTGCAGTGTTACCCCACATCAGAGCTCCACGTTCTGCAGTGTTACCCCACAGCAGAGCTCCACGTTCTGCAGTGTTACCCCACATCAGAGCTCCACGTTCTGCAGTGTTACCCCACAGCAGAGCTCCACGTTCTGCAGTGTTACCCCACAGCAGAGCTCCACGTTCTACAGTGTTACCCCACAGCAGAGCTCCACGTTCTGCAGTTTTACCCCACAGCAGAGCGCCACGTTCTGCAGCGTTACCCCACATCAGAGCTCCACGTTCTGCAGTTTAACCCCACATCAGAGCTCCACGTTCTGCAGTGTTACCCCACAGCAGAGCTCCACGTTCTGCAGTTTAACCCCACATCAGAGCTCCACGTTCTGCAGTGTTACCCCACAGCAGAGCTCCACGTTCTGCAGTGTTACCCCACAGCAGAGCTCCACGTTCTGCAGTTTTACCCCACATCAGAGCTCCACGTTCTGCAGTGTTACCCCACAGCAGAGCTCCACGTTCTGCAGTGTTACCCCACAGCAGAGCTCCACGTTCTGCAGTTTTACCCCACAGCAGAGCTCCACGTTCTGCAGTTTAACCCCACATCAGAGCTCCACGTTCTGCAGTGTTACCCCACAGCAGAGCTCCACGTTCTGCAGTTTAACCCCACAGCAGAGCTCCACGTTCTGCAGTGTTACCCCACAGCAGAGCTCCATGTTCTGCAGTTTAACCCCACAGCAGAGCGCCACGTTCTGCAGTTTAACCCCACATCAGAGCTCCACGTTCTGCAGCGTTACCCCACAGCAGAGCTCCACGTTCTGCAGTGTTACCCCACATCAGAGCTCCACGTTCTGCAGTGTTACCCCACATCAGAGCTCCACGTTCTGCAGTTTAACCCCACAGCAGAGCTCCACGTTCTGCAGTGTTACCCCACAGCAGAGCTCCACGTTCTGCAGTGTTACCCCACATCAGAGCTCCACGTTCTGCAGTTTAACCCCACATCAGAGCTCCACGTTCTGCAGTGTTACCCCACAGCAGAGCTCCACGTTCTGCAGTGTTACCCCACAGCAGAGCTCCACGTTCTGCAGTGTTACCCCACATCAGAGCTCCACGTTCTGCAGTGTTACCCCACAGCAGAGCTCCACGTTCTGCAGTGTTACCCCACAGCAGAGCTCCACGTTCTGCAGTGTTACCCCACATCAGAGCTCCACGTTCTGCAGTGTTACCCCACATCAGAGCTCCACGTTCTGCAGTGTTACCCCACAGCAGAGCTCCACGTTCTGCAGTGTTACCCCACAGCAGAGCTCCACGTTCTGCAGTGTTACCCCACAGCAGAGCTCCACGTTCTGCAGTGTTACCCCACAGCAGAGCTCCACGTTCTGCAGTGTTACCCCACATCAGAGCTCCACGTTCTGCAGTGTTACCCCACATCAGAGCTCCACGTTCTGCAGTGTTACCCCACATCCATCACCAATTTCAGCTTGTCAACAGTAGAAATTAAACTTCACTGAAAACACACACAAAAAGGCATCATGGTTGAAGATGGAGCGGTCTGATTTAGCTGCTAAGCAAACAGTGTTGAAATTCATTGCCTTCTTTGACAGATAAGACTATTCAAACAATAATATTTTCACACACTCCAAATGCATTGAAGATCTGTTTTTGTGCAAAGAAGCAAATCATACAGACGGATCTAATCTGTCCGGAGTGCTTTAGCTTTAACAAATATCATTTCTCAGAATGTGAGAAAACAGAGTGACGTGCTATCATTCCAGTGTTAGCCACATACATATTCTCCTCCATTTCGTCCAGATAGTTTCCATTTTATCAGCTGCAGGCTTTAAAAACAACACTCTTTTATTCCATATGTCAAAATGCCTCCCACTTCTTTAAATTGGGAGCCTTATTAAACTTCCAACAGCTATTTCCAAAGTCAACAGAGTTGAATCCAGAGAGTCATTCCATCGGAGTGTGTAGGAGGCTGCAGGCTGTTTTTACGGGGGATATTGAACAGTGATTTCTTTGGCACAGCCGGGACAGAGGGGGTGGAGGAATGAGATGAAAGGCCGAGTGGGGTTACCTGGGGTTAAGGAATTGTGGGTATTTTTGCTAGTGTATGTGTGTTTTCTCAAGAGACAAACATACCACTAAGCTAACATGAAAGGAAGTCAAATACAAAGTACAAATATTGACAGAGGAAAAGAAACTGGATTGGTTTTTTGTGTGTTTTCGGAGAGATATTTGTTTATTTCCGTGTAAAAATGTCTTACCTTATCCAGTTCAGTGGACAGCTTCTTGTTCTCTTCGGTCAGCAGGACTCTCTCCCTCTCGTACTTCTGCTTGTACTCGGTCTCAAACTCTTCCCTCTCGCTTTGGCTGAAGAAAACACACAAACATGGAGTGTTAAACTAGTGACTTTTGAATGATTTGTTGTCTATCAGGCTTCTGAACTATATGAACTTATATACCAGGTGATCTTATACAGGGGTTTTAGAACAGCGCAGTATAAATACATTGAACATTCAAATGTTCACCGGTCTCCAAGTCGATGTCTCATCTATCCTCCTACCTTTGTGCCTGTGTGGGCCTCTGACTCCACACATTTCCTCAAAACTGAAATCAAAGGCTTGGTACTGAGAACAGGTACACATTATTCAGCCTAAACACATTAATACAGTCAGAACCTGATCCAGCACTGTTTGAAAAAATAAATGAGAAAGCAGTGAGAATAACATGTCCGAACAGCAGGCGGGAGAGTTAGACTACAGGGTACAAAAACAAAGCTCTAAAGCCTTCTCCTCAAAAACATTATTTTATTCAAATTTGATTAAACCAGCGGTTCTTAACGTTGGATCTGGGCCTCCCTAAGTACCTACCAGGGGGGTCTGAGCAGGAAAACACGTTTTCATTTCTCTGTATTTAATACCCGAGTTGGCACATTTTGACACATCTTTCTTTTTTCAACTCCAAGAGGCCCTATCATGCTTTATGTAAACAGAGTCGAGGCACTAAATACAAATATGAACCTGAAAATGAGAATAAAATGTCCTCTTTAATGGCTCAGGAAAAAAGAAAAACTTAAAAAATATATTCTCTATAAGATCACCTTCCATGAGGAAAATAAAGTATTCTCTGAAAAGCTAGAAATCTTCTTCAGAATGCACACCTCCATGCATCTCTGTGTCATTTGGGTTGTTATGGAGGGATGACAAATATTTGGGAAGGGAGGTTACCTGAATGAAAGGTTATTATCTGGTTGGGTTGCAACATTACTATAACATTCTAATAACATATTCATCTAACACTGGTAAGATAAACTACTCAGTCACTACACATTTATACCAGACTCGAGCTATTCTTAATATCACTGTAATTACCTCCCGCAGTCATCACTGGAAGACGCAATGAAGAAAAACAAAGTCATGTAGTCACAGCCAGGATATAGGAGTCATAGCAACAAATCATTTGCATTGATCAGATGTAGGAAAATAGAGAAACTGATGAGTACCTCTCGCGGCGAGTCTTGTCCAGCTTGTCTTTGAGCATCAGGATCTCTTTCTGCAGAGCGAGGTGCTGGCTCTCGGCGTCCCGCAGCTCTTTGCGCAGACCCTTCAGCTCGCTGCCGTGCTGCCCCTCCCTGCGCGCCAGCTCCTCCTCGTACAGGAGCGTCTTCTTCTCCAGGTCTCCCCGCAGGCGCCCCACCTCCTGGGTCTGGTCCGCTGAGGCGGCGGGGGCGGAGGACCCCTGCTTCACCTGGGAGGGAGAAAAGTGATGTTGGTGAGGATGAGAGTGGAGTGTTACAGGGATTAATAAGACTCCCTGGCTACTGTTGTATTTTTAAAAAAATATTATTTTCCTAACCACTTTTTCTTAACATTTAGTGAAAACTTTATGGAAACATTTAGAAGTAAAAGAAAAGCTTAAAAAACTCCAGCGAACTCAAAAAAACCTTAAAACATTGATTTGATTCGATGAACATTTTTTAGCATAGCATTCATAGTTAGCATTTTGATATAATATAGTGTCCAAAGTTTAAACAGCGCTTTGGCAAAATATGGCATAACATGGAAAATGCTTCATCAGGACCAATCATTTACACGATCCACATTTGTCAGTCACAACGTCACTTGAACTATTGAGACTGCAAGGAATTGTGGGACCACATTCTGTCCTTTCCTTTTATAAAGGATGGTCCAATGTATGCTAAGCTAAAGGAGACAATAGAGTAAGCATTCATGCTCATGTTCTATCATCTTAAGAGTTCAAACAGCTCTGATCACATTGAGTCTTAGCTTGTATGGCTGTGCAGTGACTGCTGATGGAGGGGTTAATGTTCATCTGTGTTTGTTTGCACACTCACCTTAAGCCCTTCAAGCTCCTCCTCCAGCTGTCGGCTGTACTGCTCATTACGCTCCCTCAGCTTCCTCTCTTTCTGAGCCTCTGCTGTCTGCTCCTCAGAGTGCGCCTCCATCTGATACACACAAACACACCATTGATTGGATGCAATGTATGTCATACACTGTTTCCATGTTACAGCCACTGAAACATCGTTTATTCATCTAAGACGTAAATAGAGCGGTGCAGTGATGACCTATTTTTGTAGGCCGACCTGGAAGTTAACATCGCAAGTGCTCCCTCCATAAAAATCAATGCGATTTTTCCACTTCCAAACAAATGCTAATGATATTTACACATCTGTTCAGCGGGATTATCTCCACACATCTCTTTTATGATTGTTGTGGTGTAAATGCAATCGCCAGAAGCAACGTTGGGTTATAAAGTTAGCATGGTCTCATGGCATCACCATCGCTAGGCTAAAGGCGGGTAATGTTAGGCATGATGACGTTTAGTTTAGTCTCACTTAAAAACGTGTTAGTAACCGCTTTTTTATGACACATAGAAGCTATAAGCATTAGTCAGTCGGGTGTTAACTGAAGTGTTTTATAATGTAGAACAAAACTTGAACATCTCTTCAGCTTGTGTTAACAACAGACCTTATTTCAGGCATCAAACCAAAACATTTGATTTGTTTTGACTTTATCCAGAATGATAAAATGCTAAATAAATTCCGGGTTTAAGGACTCATTCCTGCACCACTCAGTTTATGAGTAATATACACAGAAAACAATAGGTGATTGGAGACAGAACAAGGTGTGCTAGCAAAACACAGGGAGACTACTCTACCTCCTTCTTGGCCCTCTCGGCCTTTCGCACCTCGAGGCGGAGTGCCTCCACCTTCTGACCCTGACTCTCCACCTCCTCCTCTTTGTCCCGCAGCTGGCGGGCCAGACGCTGCTTCACCGACCTGCAGGAGAAGATCAGTCAAAGGTGAGGAAAATAACAGAATTAGCCATGAAATAAAATGGATCTTAAGCACCTAAAATTACAATTTCTTCAAAAACCAGTAAGCTGTTTTGAGAAATGTTCTGGGGCAGAGTTCCTACCTGAGGTCTGTGAGTCTCTCGTTGAGCTCTGAAAACTCCTGCATTGCCAGTTTTCTCTGGCTGTGAGCGTCCTTCAGCTCCTTCGACTGAGCCTTCAGCTTCTCGTTGGCATCCAAGATATCCTGGCAGAGAGAAGGAGAGTTCAGATAAACATTTAGAGTCTCATAGTGACTTGAAAGAAAATACAAGCTAGATTTATTTGAATTTTTGGACACCAAAATCTAATCTGAGCAACCGTTTTGTCTATTGAACATTGTTATTTGGTTTGTGAAAACAGTACCAAAAAGATCTTGGTGTTCATGTTCATTTTTTTATACAATACATAATAATCGTCCCACATTTTTACGATTTATTTTACTTTCAATATCTGCTCTCATTACACATTTAAATTTCTCTTAGTGTGTTTATGTACTGAATGCGCTATTACACACCAAAGCAAATTCCTTGTATGTAAACACCTACTTGGCAATAAACAACATTTTGATTATGCTTTACCATGATACATATTGCAACAGACACATACGTGCAACTTCACACAATATAACACCTTTATATGGAATTATTATCATGTCTTCTTAGGGCTCTAACAAAGACAAAATACACTACAAAAGTATTTTTGAAGCATTTTTTGTTCCTCAAGACAACGTACAAAGAGTTTTGTCATTATATCAGAGCCATTTCAGTTACAGCAATTAAATAAATATATAGAGAAAATACAAAATGTATGCGGAGACAGAATCCCCTACTGGTTGTACCTTGTGCATGTCGTCCCTCTCCTGTGAGACACTCTTCATCTGTTTCTCCAGAGTCCTGGTGTGTTTAGAGGAGTCCTCCAGGTCTCTGCGGGCCAGCGACACGTCCTCCAGCTGCTTCTCAATCTGACCCGAGTCTGACAAACACATAAACAAAGGTATATCATTAACCCTCCTGTGGTCTTCGGGTCAAATCTGACCCATTTACTACTTTCATCAATCATAACTTTTTTGTTTTACATTCGATTGCATTAAGGCTTTATGATATCCTTCACAGTAGACACTTGAACATATACAATTGCTGATCACCACTTTCATTGAATTTTGGATGATTTAGTCAACTTTGTAACACCCATGGTGTTCCCGGTCAAAAGTGACCACCATAAAGAAATGGAATTAGTAACCATCCGGATCAGATAAAACACACACACATACTCTAGATGTGTCCCCCCCCTTATGTGCCCAATCCCCCCATGTGAATCACACCTGGCACACGCAATACATGTTCAGTGTCTATTCTTTGTATATTTACTGCAGTTGTTCATGTGTACCAGTAGTCTGATACAATATTTACAGTTTGAAAGGGTGTTAAATGAAATTTGGTGATGATTAATGGTTTTTGTGTTAATGTAATAGCAGTTAAAACAGGACCGGTCAAATTTGACCGCGAACACCAAAGTAAGGGGGGGGGAACGAAGACAATAGGAGGGTTAAATCAAATATGTAACTTAAACGTTTTATTTTTGCTGTTTCTTTATCAAGGTGCATAGTTTTCCCATTCTTAAATAGTAATTTGAACGTTGAGTCATTAGCACATACATTTCCCATATGACTTGATAGCGTATGAAACCAAATCTAAGAAAATCCTCACCAGCGATCTGCTTCTTGAGGATGTCGATCTCGCTCTTCAGACTCCTGATCTCCCCCTCCCTGTTGGGGCCAACAGGGCCCTCGCCTGATGGATGCTGCAGGGCCTGCACCGTCTGAGTCGACTCTGCAACAGGTCCAGCAAAAAGAGGCTTTAGTAAAGTGCTTTGTCATACTTTCTAAAGACCACATTTGGCTTGAACTGATCATTATGAAGAACAAGTTGATCGCACAATGTTACGGGCGTAGAATAATGACACCATCAGCATTTAGACTGGGGCCCTATAGGTTCCTCCAACTAAAATCTCCCAGGATTTTGAGAGAGACACGCCCTCTGAAGGGAACTTTCGGGGTGTTAGCCTTTGCAGACTATTGACATGCACAAAAACCTATAGAACACAATCGAGGGAAGGGAAACCCCAAAAAGCTTAATAAGGACTCTTTAAGATTAGTTATGGGCCAGTTTAGCCTTAATCAGAAAGTCACAGTGTTGAAAGAGGGAGATCACACGGGTAAAGGGACTGCAGGCAAAGCATAGACTGAGCCCCAGTACAAGGGCTGCCATTTCTTGCTTTGCAGTGATGTCTGAATAAGTCTATTTTGCCACAGAAGTCAGCTTTACCTTGCAGTTTGCGGCTCAGCTCTAACTTCTCCTGCTCCAGGCGGCGGATCCTCCTCTCGTAGGCCTCTGTGGCCAGGCTGTCCTCCAGGCCTCGCTGGACATCCAGGTCCAGCTGGTCCTCTCCCGGCTTACCCGGATCCCCCACCAGCTGCCGCAGGGAGGCACGGTCTGATAGGGAACTGCAGAGGTGGAGGAGGAACAAAGATTGTGAGGAGAAAGGTGTAGGAGGCAGTGACATCAGCCATTATCAGCCGAGTGTAGAGTGGGGAAAGGAGATTAAAAAAAAGGCCATTTATAGAGTTGAAAAATAGACATAATGATGTTAACAGAATAAGACAATTCAATATGAAAGTGATTATTAAAGGGAGAGAAAGAGGCCAGGGGGAAACAGCAGGAGAGGGGAAACAGGAAAGAGACGTGGACGACAGAGATACAGATGAGTTGAAAGATGAGAGGATGTTGAGTCATGGAAGAAGGGGGAGAGGGAGGGGGGAGAAGGAATGACAGCGACAAAAGGAAGATGGGGAGTGAGAGAAAAAGAGGGAGGGTTAGGGAAAGAAAGGAAGAGTGCAAGGGGACATTATCACTGAGCCTTGAACAGATAAGACGTAAGCGGTGGGTTTGTTGCTTTCTCACGGGTAGCCTTCAGGGTGAGGATCTACAGCGAGTCCTGAACATCACCTTATTAGGGAGGGAAGCTACTCCAACACTCCTACGCCGCTATGCTATGCAATGAGAAGGCTTGCTGGGTAATCTGTCCATTTATAATGACTGATTACAAATGATGCTAGATTGTGTAGATCACACTGTTTTCATCCTTATTTGGTCAAAATGTATACAAATGCATGCAAAATACACTTATCGCAATTCTAAACAATGAAAAGGGAAGGAAGAGAGTCCAAAAAAAGACACAAATTCTAAATGAAGGCAGCGGCTTAAAATAATGTTTCCATTGTTATCCCTTACCATTTACTGGTGTAGGTGAAGCCCACAAATGGCAGGTGGTGGCCGGAGAAGGCAGTGTGAGAGGGCGGAGGCATGGTCTCCTGAAAAAGGGTTTAGAAACATGACAAAAAGAGTTAGATATTATGTTATATAGGCGAGGATAGAGGGAAATATGAAGATATTCCCCTACCGAGTTCTTTAGGCAGTCATCATCCACATCAAAGTTGGAGGTATCTGTAGGACTGCTGACTTCTGGGATGTAGGGAGCCTCACATGTGAGAATGTTCTCCCAGATAATGCCTGAACACAAGAGAGGTCACAGGATACTTTTAAGCATAAAACAGTGGTACAAATCTATAAATCTAGTTATCTTGATAATGTTTTTGATTAAAAAACCTGTTTCATTCATTTATTTGCACAAAATATAGGAAATAACAAACATCATGTATTAGGAGGTTCAAGGGTGTTGTGCTAATGAGATTACAAAATATGATAAAATCTATGAAATGATCGAACCCCCAAATCAGGATGATACACACACTTGTAGATAAAAACACCTCTAAGATATATCCTTATATTGGAAAAATAAGCAACATTTAAATCCCTAAAAACCTTGCGACATAAGTAACGTTAGAACGTACCAACAAAGAAGGGGTGGTGCTGGAAGTCTTCGATGCCGTTCTGGCCCAATCGGTGCTCTCGGCTGCAAATGAGCCGGCGAATCAGATCCTTCGCATCTTCTGACACGTCTGTGATCTGCTGCGGGAACTGGAAGCGCTCCTGTGGAAGATGTAATGGTACTCATTAGAGGCATGGTCACTGGCACAGTTAATAATTCCACCTCGTTTCTCCTTTATGCTTATATATCCTATCTTCAAAACTATTTTGCACTGTTTCTTAATAATGTATTGCCATGAGATTCACACAAAGAGAGTAACAGCCTAGAATCCACTTCAAACTCTATATCAGGGGTATTCAACTAAAACTCAACGAGGTCCAGTTAGAGAAAATGTCCCCATGCAAAGGTCCGGAACTTCAAAATGTCTAAGTTGCTTTATGAATTAGTGTGATATATATTGAAGTAGCCTGTAGCTTTATCAACGTCTGCATGTAATCAACAACTGACTGCCAATCAAATAAAGAAAGTATAATTAAAAAACAACAATATTTATTGTCAATTAACATTGAACTATACAGATATACAGCAAATACTGTGTAATGTTCCTCTCGGGCTGCATTTACAAATAAAATAGCTTTTGAAAATGTGTGCATCTTTAAAGTGCTTAATTTTAGATAAATCAAATAAAGTGTAGCAGCAGCTTGAGTTTCCCTTTTTCTTTGTTAACCGTTTCACATCATGACTTAACAGTTTCAGCCGATTAAAGAACAATATCAGTCTTTACACATCATAACAATTGAACAGTTTTAAAGTTTCTCTTTCTTTCCCTCTTATATTGCAGTCCCTCACTCACTTTTTTTTATTCAGTGCGAGAATTGAGCTTGAGCTTGTCCTGCCAGGAGTTTAGATCTGGGCTGAAATGGTGTCAGGGCCATTCTCATGCACACATGCAGGTGCTCATTGGTTAGCCTCGGTTAGCCTGGAACGATATTTAGTTTTAATTTTGATCCTGGTGGACTGATCATATCGGGCTCTGAGACTGCTTATTTTTTGTGACCTCAGTTCTGACTTGAGAGGGAATGTTTGGTCAAACACTTTGTGTTTCGTCTCATAGTGGCGTTTTGGCACTTTTAATGAGCGCCACGGTCTCTGAACAAATGAGACACACTGGTTCTGTGCTCCCAGTGGGCAGGATGAACATGAATGAGTCCACTCAGGGTTAAAAGCTCTGTTCTCACTGTCCACTTTCCTCTTCTTGGAGAGCGCCATGTGTCATTATTTGTCTCTCCCTGTCTGCCGCTAACACGCATGTTCACTCTCCTCTCCTCTCTGCCGCTCTCTCGTCTCTTCTTCTGTGTTTCTCTCCCTGTATCGCTCACTCGTCTCTTCTGTGTTTCTCTCCCTGTATCGCTCACTCGTCTCTTCTGTGTTTCTCTCCCTGTATCGCTCACTCGTCTCTTCTTCTGTGTTTCTCTCCCTGTATCGCTCACTCGTCTCTTCTGTGTTTCTCTCCCTGTATCGCTCACTCGTCTCTTCTGTGTTTCTCTCCCTGTATCGCTCACTCGTCTCTTCTTCTGTGTTTCTCTCCCTGTATCGCTCACTCGTCTCTTCTTCTGTGTTTCTCTCCCTGTATCGCTCTCTCGTCTCTTCTGTGTTTCTCTCCCTGTATCGCTCTCTCGTCTCTTCTGTGTTTCTCTCCCTGTATCGTTCTTTCTGTGTTTTTTCTCTCCCTGTATCGCTCCTCGTCTCTTCTGTGTTTCTCTCCCTGTATCGCTCTCTCGTCTCTTCTGTGTTTCTCTCCTGTATCGCTCTCTCGTCTCTTCTGTGTTTCTCTCCCTGTATCGCTCTCTCGTCTCTTCTGTGTTTCTCTCCCTGTATCGCTCTCTCGTCTCTTCTGTGTTTTCTCTCCCTGTATCGCTCTCTCGTCTCTTCTGTGTTTCTCTCCCTGTATCGCTCTCTCGTCTCTTCTGTGTTTCTCTCCCTGTATCGCTCTCTCGTCTCTTCTGTGTTTCTCTCCCTGTATCGCTCTCTCGTCTCTTCTGTGTTTCTCTCCCTGTATCGCTCTCTCGTCTCTTCTCTGTGTTTCTCTCCCTGTATCGCTCTCTCGTCTCTTCTGTGTTTCTCTCCCTGTATCGCTCTCTCGTCTCTTCTTCTGTGTTTCTCTCCCTGTATCGCTCTCTCGTCTCTTCTGTGTTTCTCTCCCTGTATCGCTCTCTCGTCTCTTCTGTGTTTCTCTCCCTGTATCGCTCTCTCGTCTCTTCTGTGTTTCTCTCCCTGTATCGCTCTCTCGTCTCTTCTTCTGTGTTTCTCTCCCTGTATCGCTCTCTCGTCTCTTCTGTGTTTCTCTCCCTGTATCGCTCTCTCGTCTCTTCTTCTGGTTTCTCTCCCTGTATCGCTCTCTCGTCTCTTCTTCTGTGTTTCTCTCCCTGTATCGCTCTCTCGTCTCTTCTGTGTTTCTCTCCCTGTATCGCTCTCTCGTCTCTTCTGTGTTTCTCTCCCTGTATCGCTCTCTCGTCTCTTCTGTGTTTCTCTCCCTGTATCGCTCACTCGTCTCTTCTGTGTTTCTCTCCCTGTATCGCTTCACTGTCTCTTCTGTCTCTCCCTATCGCTCTTCGTCTCTTCTTCTGTGTTTCTCTCCCTGTATCGCTCACTCGTCTCTTCTGTGTTTCTCTCCCTGTATCGCTCTCTCGTCTCTTCTGTGTTTCTCTCCCTGTATCGCTCTCTCGTCTCTTCTGTGTTTCTCTCCCTGTATCGCTCACTCATCTCTTCTGTGTTTCTCTCCCTGTATCGCTCTCTCGTCTCTTCTGTGTTTCTCTCCCTGTATCGCTCTCTCGTCTCTTCTGTGTTTCTCTCCCTGTATCGCTCTCTCGTCTCTTCTTCTGTGTTTCTCTCCCTGTATCGCTCTCTCGTCTCTTCTGTGTTTCTCTCCCTGTATCGCTCACTCGTCTCTTTCGCCCCCTGTCGGCGGCGGTGGTTAAAATAGAATCGCCCCGTCAAAATTGAAATCCCCTATTAATGTATTGATTATAGGTCCGGGTCCGTAGAGGTCGGCGTCTGGGTCCGGACCGCGGTCCGCCTGTTACTGAACTATGCTCTATAAGCTCACCTTGTGGTTCATGATCTTCCCGTAGGTTTCCACCAGGGACTCTGCATAGAAGGGAGTCTCGCCGTACAGCATTTCATACATGCAGACGCCCAGGGACCACCAGTCGCACTCAGGCCCGTACTTGCCCTTTCCATCCTCCATAGCCTGGAGGATTTCTGGGGAGATGTAGTCTGGAGTCCCCACCGCCACGGAGGACTGGACCTAGCAGAGGGATAAAAGAAAAGTCAAGAATTGATGCAAAAAATCTTTAAAATCTCACAAATGGGAGAAATCTCACATGTAAAGAAGGGAAACATTTTAGTATTCAAGTCCAGCATGCATGCTAATGAAAGTAATGATGATGATGAGTAATAGTCTGCAGTTTTGGAAGCATACAAGATGAATACCAGAGTTCTAGCTTAAGGAAACAGGACTTTTTCTTTTGGCTACACTCTTTTTTGGAGCTCATTTTTAACTTCTAAAGCAATTTTGAGAATTCACATGATGCTGAATCAAAAGCAAAGCAGTGTTGAATGCTATATGTTGTCTGGATTAATACACAGTGAGAGAGAAAAGCAGATGTTGGCATCTGTCTCTTTATTCTTCAGGAAGTTGCTTTAATACAGAAGAAACCCCCAAGACTGTTATCATGATTCAAAGCTTATAAGGAAATGTTCCAAAGAAACGTCAAACAAGGGGTCCAACAAGCCCTTCAATTATTTGTTCAAATGGTCATATAACCTCATCACTATATTATCATTGAAAGAAGACACTGGGGAACATCTTTGATCATCTATTTCATCCTGTCATTTCTCCGTTATGTAACTTCTTTTCTTTCTTTTTGCTCCGAGGATTGTCTGAATCACAAAGTGAAGGCCCAGCCGAGCAGCGGAACCACACACCCCTCCTGGGAGACCCCCAGGGGTTGACTAGGAGGTCAGTAAAAGCTCTGGTATGTTTGCTTTGGACCGGAGGAGGCTTCAGCAGTAGTGTGGTAAAAAAAAAAAAAAAAAACCTACCGTCCCGTCCTCCATGAGTTTGAGGCAGGAGCCGAAGTCTGCCAGGCGGATGTGGCCGTTCATATCCAGCAGGATGTTGTCGGGCTTTATGTCCCTGAAAGAAGAAAATACAAAATAAATAACCATATTGCTCAGAGTAGAATGAAGAAAACGACATTTTTCAAAAGACAAATATACTTCGATGACATTCAGAACGCCCACAAGCCAGATCTCACATCACACCATCGATAATAATCAAAATTAACTTTTTAACCTGGGAAAATGTTACTAATAATTCAGATATTTATCATTCAATTAAGTGTAATTTCCCCATCGCCCATTAATCAGCAGCGTGACAACTTTAAATGGACCATAGGAAAGAATAAACACTGGAATAAGTCGACTTGCGGTGTGGGAATTAGCCTTGCAGCAAGTGTGTGTGTGCAGCTTTTCAAAACACACACAAACATGCACTGTTGGAGGAAATATGCAAGGCACAAACACACTCCCACTTGCAGAAAAAAGACCCTGTGTCCTAAACAGACACACTCCCCTGTTCACTACTCCTTCAATATTTGTGTTTGTGAACAGAGACAGACTGGGTGGGGGTTCGGGGGGGGTAACTGACAACACATTCTTTCACAGATGTGTACACGGTGGCTGGCCACTGTAGATTCTTCTTCTCAACCTGCATCTGCTCAGCATTACTTCTGCTGATGGTATGTTTATAATATAGATACTGACTCTGGCCTGATTTCAGCTGCTGGGATTCATTGCTGCAACAGCTGGATCGTCTCAAAACTCATCAGCTGCTTTCACTTCTTAACCAGCACCTCAACAAATGATAAGGCAATCATGATTGAAAATGGGGCTGTTGAAGACACATTTCATTAGCTGAAGTGCAAGTGAGCTTTTCAATTCCTGGAAACATGAGTTTAGTTGGGTGCTGTTTGAGGATGTGGGCCAAACTCCATCTATATATTGCGCGGATTGTCAAAAGTTTGCATCTATGAATCACTGTGACATTGTTCTGATTCATATCATCTAAAAATATTAAGAAAACAATTGCCTTTAGTCTTGTTTTGAATCATAACCTAGTATATATAGCCATTTGTGTAGACGTTCGCTTCTAACACACGCCCAGCCAGGAGGAAAAACTATTTCAACATTGAACCCCGAACAATCATATAAAACGGATACAAGCAGGAAATGCTCACAATTGAGAAGTCATTTTCTGTCTAGTGTTGTTGGCTAGACGTTGTCAAACCATCCGTTTCAAGTTGGCTTTGTAGTAGTCTGCAACTTCTCCTGTTGGAGAGGCTCACATCAGGACCTTTTCTTCTGTCTGCAGCTATGTCATAGATTGTATTGGGCAGGAGGGCCATGCTAACATTATATTTAATAGTTTTGCAACTTTGGGATCCAAGTGATCCTTAAATTGTACACATGATACACTTTTCATTGTAGTTTTACCATGGACGGAAATGATATATTAGTGTTGTTTTCGTGACTTTTTTTGTTTGTATGGTAAGCTGTTGTCTTGGTCTATTTGTGTTCTGTTTCTGATAGGTGCAAGTTGCCAGAACTCATGTGTCATGACATCAAACTTCTGACGCCTACACTGCTGGAAATTTCCAAGAAGAAGGAGTCAAAGTAGAGAAAAAGGGAAAAAATTATTTTTATTTGTATACATGACTGCTCAAATGTAACTGTGCACACATTCTACAGTGTGTCCAAACGTAGAGAAAGTAAACCAGCTGTGTTGGTTCAAAAAACCTTTGTATGCCTACTCTTTTCCATACAGAAAATTGGTCAGAATCGATAGGAAAATCAATAAAGAACCGGAACCCATAAGCAGAATGGATAATGTCGTTGGTATCAAATAAATCGTATCAATTTCCAACACCAGTGCTAGTTTTGCATTATCTTCAACGTTATGAAAATTGTGCATACTTTCTGTAAACTACCAAAACCATGGTAACTTCCAACTACTTAGCGCAAACTATTAGAAATGTTTCTTACATGAGGATGGTTTTTAAGGTGCATGAGATGGTCCAGTACGTTTAACAGGTGTTCACTGACAGGTGGTTTTGTGTTGGGCTGTTGGTGCTATTGTCTTTCATGGCAGTACTGTTAGTGTGTTAATGTTTATCTCTAGGCTAGATCTACTGCCAGGCCTGGTTTAGTCAACTCTTTGTGGCCATGGTAAGCCGTTTTAAGGTTGTCATTCTGAGTAATTCCAGGAACAAAAAGTCATTTGTTGGTTTCATCTGTGACCTTCTGGTGTCAATGTAATCATTCTTGTATTATGTGTGTTTGAAATCCACGTCATCTTAATCGTAAAATCATACCAAGTGACCCCAATGGTTGCAGGGCATGACTGGTATGAAACAGAGATGTCACTGTCTCCCAGCATCATGGCTAAATATAGCCTCTGTGCTGGCCGGACCAATCCCCTGAGGGGAGACCCTGTCCAGCCCAGTGTCTGAGGCCCTCTTATCAACACAGTGACCCACAACGCGGCTCAATACACACGGTATGAGGGCCACATAAAAACTCTTCTACAGTAGTGTCAAAGGCACACATACAGTACACACTCACACACTCAGAGTCCAGGGTTACAGAACTGAGCTGCTGCTATTTGTGTGCATTAATGTGAGCATTGTTCTGCTTAAAATTAAAACTGATGACCAATACATCCATACACCCCCACAAAGCCTACCCCCACACCACTAGCACTCTCATAATGACTGATAAGTGGATGAGGAGATACAACTGAAACAAGCAGAATACAATACAAAGGCAACCCTCTGCAACCATTTGTTGACACAGTCATTTGGAGTACAGATTCTTTTTTCCATTTTTGGTAGTGACAATGGCTCCAACTTGCATCATTCAACCACTACAGTGTGAGCATTTTCTTAACATTTGGCTTCAACAGACCTAAATCCAGCATTATCTCTAAATAAAAGTTTTATCAAGGTCGGAATAATTCCAGTGTGTTCCAAAACAACCAATACGGTAACGTTCTCTGGCAAAACCATACATTTTTGCCAGTTAACAAGGCTTTAGGAAGTAGAAACTGATCAGTAAAAGCTCAAGAAATTCCCACATTCCACTTTGAATTATTCCGAAATTCTTGTTTTCAAATTGTACACATTGAGACTTTGGGAGATGTTATTTTCTTTAAAAAAAAAAAAGAGTGGGCAGACATAAACTAGCTTTGAAGACGTCTTTGATGTCTCAGTCTTCCGCGAGACATCTCTTCAAAGCCAGATGTGAAGCCCCTGTCATTTTCCAGAAGTGTTAATAGTCGCATCGTATGGGGGTACAACAGGGGGTGGGGCCAGTTATCTCTCTGCCTCAGAGACGCCACTATATCACAAACCTATAAAACCATGGCTAAAAGTAATATGCGCACATACGTGACTTGTATAGACACATAAAAGTGGGGCTCCAAATGTATATATATATATATATATATATATATATATATATAAATGACACTTACTTTTCCATACCCCTGCTTGTATCCTGGGTTACTTGAAAGTGTTTTTAAAGAGCTCACAGATGAGTTCCAGATTGGACATCACTTTCCAAAGTGGATACTGTATATAGCATTTGGATGGGAACCACATCACATACTGTACCCAAGTGCATCAAACATTCACATAACCTACTGTATCTGGAGTGATGTGAACTTGGCAGGCATGAACTCGCAGAAACAACTGACGCCATGTATACTCAAGGTCATACTGTCGAAGTACATCTTAAACTTCGACAGAGTATAAAGATTTATCTGATCAAATGTTTATGTTTCTAAGAAAATTAGAGTTATGTTGGACTTTACACTGCTCCATTACATCTGACATTTTACCTTGACTTTAACAACTCCAAACTAATAGTGGCGCTAATGGAAGGCAAGAAGACACAAACTTGGGCATGTTCACTGGAAAGTTATGCAGCTTGTGATTGTATAATGTTATAACTATAACCTTTTGAACATGTTCAGCCTGTAAGATCTGTTAATTCAGTTTCATTAAAAGCAAAGAATAACTCTATAGTGGCCCTATGCATCATTAATAGCGCTATGCAACAATGTGTTTCACTGGTAAAACATGTGGACTTGAAGGAGAGTGGTTGTGACGCAATACAAGGGTTAAGGTTAGGTTTGTCAATAGATTGGCTATGAAAAGTTCTATGAGGTAAGACAAATGTGCTGGTGTGTGTTAAGGGTACACACAATGTTTTTGTTGAGAATCTAAATGTAAATAGAAACTTTATTTACAAGGAAACTACACAGGGGATCTTTAAATGGCAAATCTGCAGTTTCGACACAAGAAATACAAGTTCAAATACTTTGATCGACATACTCCTTGAAACGGTCCGTATCTGATAATAAAATAAACAGAGGTCTAGCCTAGATTATCTCATGTTTCACAATTTGCAAGATAAATGATAAGTTACTTTCTCTGCAGCAGTCAAACATGACAATGTCACATTTTCTGTTTGTGGATATCACTGTTTAACCTGACATGCCATATGGTTTGTTAAACATTTTAGAGGCCGTCAATGGAAACGGGGCAAGCACTTTCAAAACAAACTTGTCTGTTGATTGGAATAACCTTCTGTCAATCAAATTCTTAACAAAGACAGTCAGTAGATGAGCGAGATAACATCCTTTCCATCGAAAACAATTCCACCATATCAAAGGCTCACAACCTCTGAACACTGAATCTAAATCACCTTGACAGGAAGTGAAAACCTTACAAATCATAAATGACACCTGGAACAATTGTCTGTGTTCTATTACACTGTGAGCACGTGGATCTGCAGTGCTGTATGTGTGTGTGTATGTATATACACAGGTGCTTCAATAGCAGAAGGCCTTAATCTGTTCCAGAGATTTCTGGTCAAGCAGAGAGCAGACAGCATGAGTTGACCCTCGCCTGTCCATGTGTGTGTAAATGTGTGTGTGGCAGACAGGCAGCACAGTGGGGGTAAGGGAGGGGGGTAATGGTGCAGCTACTGATAAACCATTTAGCACTCAGCAAAGCCCCCGTCTGCCCACTCCCCTCTCTTCCACTCTACCACCCTTCTCCTTTCCCAAATCTC